TTACATTACTGACCTCTGTACTGCTGACCTTTGTACTGTGCGTCACACCGTTGGCCTGTGCACTCAGTTAAATTACTGATCTCTGTACTCTGCGTCACACTGCTGGCCTCTGTATTCGGCATTACACCACTGACCTCTGTACTCTGCGTCACACCACTGACCTGGAGGGGTTAAGTCCGGGGCAGGGTAGGGGTGAGGTGGGGCAACTGGTGGCGAGAAACTTAAGGGCTGGCTAGTAGCTCAGGACTTTAAATTTTGAGCCCTGATCTATTGTACAGTCTCATCACCAAAACTCTTCATAGGAATTTGGTATTTCTTCCAGTTCAACAAATGTTTCCTTTTCTTATAAAAAGAGGACTATGAACAAGCACTTCGCTCCTCCCAAGACCTCCCCTGCTGTCTGGCTCCCTCATCACCTCCTCCCATGCTCGCCTTCAAGAGTTCTCCAGAGCCTCTCCCATCCTCTGGAACTCAATACCACAACCTATCCAGCTATCTCCTAATCTGCCTGCCATTAGGCGATCCCTGAAAACTCACCTCTTCATGGAAGCCTATCTACCTCCTCTTAAAAACTGAACATGTACTTCTTCAATCAGCTTGTGCCTCACAGTTATTACGGTCTGTCACTTGCCCCCCTTGTAGCTGGTAAAGCTCTCCCGAGCAGGGTCCTTCTAATCCTTTTGTATTGTATTGTAATTGTAGTGTCTCCCCATATGTTGTAAAGCGCTGCATAAACTGTTGGCTCTATAGAAACCCTGTGTAATATTAATAATGAAAGCGGAGCTTACAGTAAAAATTCAAGTTCACTTAATCTATGTGGGATCCATTCCCCAATACCTGTAGGAAAAAATATTTAAATATACTTGCCTCAGCACCTAGGTGAGGGTGACTTCAACATCTTTCCGGCAAGATCCCAAATAATGCCGATTAGGTAGAAGCACCGTGCTGTAGTGTCATCTTGTAATTTGTGGACTAGTCTGCATTCTCAGGGATCTTGTCAGGAGGATGGTGATATCTCCCCCTGCAGTACGAAAGCCGGAAGATAGGGAAGTATATTAACTTTTCCCTATAGGTTTTGTTTTTACAGGGGCTGTTAATGACGAGGGAGGGGCATGGTATTTTAAGTCTACAAAAAAAACTCCCTTATACTTAAAACAAAATAAAAATGAATTCTCAGGTTAGTGTTACTCTATTTGCCAAATCTTCACTGTGCAGCCCACAGGAAGCCGCACGGACATCACTGCAAAGCATCCCAGCCAAGAAGCTGCTTCTTCTGTGCATGCATGGGGAAAAAACCCTTTATTCCCTGAGCATGTCATTGGGATGCAAACTTAGACGATCTCTCCGAAGGAATTAAGGGGATTTTTCCATGTATGAAAGTGAAGTTGACTGGTATTTGTATTTGGTAAATTGTTTAATGTATTTTTGTTTACAAACATCTAGCATAGGTACCTGAATATATCTTCTTATCACCCTTCTATCATCTCCTGAAAAGCAGCACTCGGACCTGGACAGGGAAGGGCAGCATAAGGAGTGAATTAGGCTCTGATGCATGCGCATGTGCTGACAGGAACATGCAGATAGGAGCAGAGTAGATGGCTTACTGTGTTGCTACGCCTCTTTTGCCCTCAGCAAGAGGTGACATCAATGTCTTTCTAAACCAACAGACACAACTGCTTACATACTATATGACTATTTAGCTTCTTTTTTTTTTTTTAATTATGAAGCTTTAAATAATACCCCAGCTATCTTCCATATGTAATAGTGAACCTGTCACAGCAGCAGCTTCTCTACAGCAAAAGTACACCGGAACGTGACTAGTCCAAATCATTACAGCAAACATAGCTAGATTAAACTGCAAACCCTTAGATTTGATTAATGTTTAAAGCACCAGCTTTGTTTGCTTTTGTATTGTATTGTCCAGGTAATTGTAAGCTAAACTGTTACTGTTTAAAAAAAGGCAAACAGAACAGCAGACAAGATACAATGGGCCTCTCTGTCCGTCCTTAGTTTAGTCTCATCTTCTCCAGTATGTCAACAGCTATGGAGCCTGTGATCTGTACTAGAGAACAGCTCCAGGTATGTGTCTAAAAATATTTATGCTGTATTGTAAAAACATGCCCTGTCTTTATGTACAGCTATTGGGCTCTGGTATAATGCCCCATTCACAAGGGATTCTAGTTCTGTCTACATCCAGGGACAATCATCTATCCAGAACCGCAGGTAATCACAACACATATGATTAAATGCGGACTGTCGCTGACAGATGTGGCTGCCGTCAGCCTGTCATCAACCTGAACGGACGCAGTCGGGTTTCCTGCCCCAAGAAGCCATAGGTTCTTGTGGCAGGAATCCCCCGCAGCAGATTAAAGCCCCCTGTGAATTGTGCCTAAGAGGTACAGTTTTGAGGGAAGTGGCAGGAATGTATCCCTCACTGGGAATTTTGCATAAATAAGCTTCAGCGCTTTGGGTACAGCAGTCCTCATCTATAGCAATATATGGGGAGTCCTTTGTGAACACTTGGACCTCACATATCGTGGAGTGGGGGATAAGGACATTTTACAGTTGTGGCCATACATGTCACAGTGGGTGCATCTTACAGTTATGGTCATACATGTCACAGAGTGGGGGAGATATCTTGCAGTTATGGTCATATATGTCACGGAGTGGGTGGTATCTTACAGTTATGGTCATACATTTCACAGAGTGGGGGGCATCGTGCAGTTATGGTCATACATGTCACGGAGTGGGGTGCATCTTACAGTTATGGTCATACATGTCACGGATTAAGGGGGCAGAACATTTCAGTTATGGGTCATGGCCTGGCAAGAGCTTAATTTCAAAGTAAACCTGAGCATTTCCATGTATATGATGAGAAAATGCATAAGTAGATGGTACTACAAAACAAATGTGTTCTGTCAAAATTCAAGCTTGGCCTCATTTATTTGCCTTTGTATCTCTAAATTGAACTTGTCATCGACCTAATGCAGCAGCTGTTACCTATAAGGATACAAAGTAATAAGGGAATTAAAACTCACAAGCTGTTTTCTGGTTTTCCTTTCATTTGTTATAAAATGAGGCTCTGTTACTACGCTAAATAGCTGCCTGCCGGGAAATGCCACTGTCTGGGCAACAAGTTGCATGCTACTTCTAAGGTCTCCTCATTAACAGAGATGCTGAAAAAGCCCTTCCTTCCCTTTAACCAACTACCGTCCGCCGAACATTCAGAAACAGCCGGACGGGAGTCTTCTGGATGCGGGTGGGCGTCTTTAAACGTCCTTCGTGCCCGTGCACGCACAAGAACGGGAAACCACCAGAATTTGAAAAAAAAAAGCCAGCGATGGCTGTTTACATACAAGCTGTCCGGTGTCTGTAAAGACGCCCCATCGCTTGTATGCTGCATGTCTCTGTGCATCCCCCCCCCCTCCTTCCCGTCCTGCCGCCGCTATCCCAGCGATCCCGGGTGTCCAATCCGGGACTGTCAGTGTGGGTCCATGTGGCTCTGTGCACTGAGAACGGAGTACCGCTCTCCTCCCCGGTCTCCGAATGCAGGAAGTGATGCTTATTACATACCTTCCGCATTCCTCTATCACTCTCCGGTACAGAAACCGGAGAGAAGCTGATGAAGCAGATCTGTGATGCTTCAGCTTCTCTGGGGGTCCCTAGGTGACATTAGGGGTCTTGGAGACCCCTGATGTCTGCATAAAGAGCTTAACTGTTTGTTTTAAAGAAGGAATGGCATGGGAAACTGTGAAGACTTAAAGCTGATCTCCAGGGTAATCTATTATGGTCTAAACATAAGAGGTATGTGTTTTCTTAGTTGAATCCTGGTGTGCTTCGTGTACCTCTTGCCTCTGCGCATTTCAGTACAGCGTTGCATGACGGAATAAATGTCAGCCAAAGTACCGCAGCACTAAATACTGAAAAATGGCCTGGACAGGAAGGGGGTTTAACACCGCGGACTTCAAGTGGTTAAGAGTGTCAGACCGCAGCAGCCTACATCTGAAATGTATCTAGCTTTAAAACAGAAGTCACAGGGAAACTCACAGACTAAAAGGGTTTAAAAGGAGAACTATGGGGCCAGGGCTTTTCCCCATAGTTCTCCTTAGGGTAACCGGAGGACACAAACTAGCGTCCTCCCGTCACCCTAAGCTCAGCTTAGTATACTGAGCTGAGCTGTAGCTCGCGGTATACTGAGACACTGCAGCCGGAGCGGATCCCGACATCGATGTCGAGATCCGCCCAGCTGCGTGAGTGACAGCTGGCTCTGCCTATCTAGAGGCAGAGCCAGCTGTACCCGCCCCCTCCCCCGTCCGATCCGCCAGTCAGCGCTGGAGGATCGGGGAGGGGGGAATCCAGCCCCTCCCCTGTCACGGCAGAGGGCCGTGACAGGATCGAGAAGTGAGCAAACACTGGCATGTGTTCGCTCACCTCCCGATCTACTGAGCCAACCTGTGACAGTCTCATTGTCACAGGTCGGCTAGAACTATGAAGCGAGTGAAAAGCACTCACCTCATAGTTCTCCTTTAAGCCAAAGTAAGCGTCTCTGGGAGAAGATGTGCATAACTTTGGATCTGACATGTGGTTTTTAATATAGGTAACTATATTATATCATGCTTAGGCATTTTTCGTCATAAATAAAACATGTTTAGTAGTGTAGGATATGTGAATGGTATAACTATGTAAACAAGAGATTGTACCTAGTAAAATATTAATAATAATACAGATATTTGGTAATCATCCCACTGTCAAAGATCCAGCCATTCCATCAATGCATCCTATAAAACGATTCTAGATCAGATATTACATTTTCAACATAAATTCATGACTTTCCTTTACGAATGTCTGACCTAAGCCTGTTAAAAATCAGGTAAACAACAGAAAGCAAAGTGTACAAACCATTCTGTGGACTCCATTAAATCCAGTGTTTTTAGGTTCTTTGGATCTAATTCAGTACCTCCCTTTTTCCCCATGTTCAGGATTTGCAATTGTATTCTCACCTGTGCAGTCTCTGCCATCTTCTGCTCAAAGTCAGATTTTACAGCAGCGTATTTCTCGATACAGCCCTTGTAGCTTTCCGTAGCTTTTTTGGCCTTTAGTGATGCCTAGTGAAAAAACAAAATTTGGAAAAGTTAAAGTTACAGAAAAAGAAGTCTGATTGTCTAAACCAAACTCTGCCCAGACTAGGCAAGGTAACCGGCATTCTGAACAGCAGGCACTGTAACTAGGGATGCACCAAAACCAAGTACCGTGCTCGGTACAAGTCAATGTACAGATACCTTTTGAGCTCCAAGACTAGACTAGAGAAAAATTCAAAAGTTAGGAGGCAGCTATCATTTGTAAGGAGCACATGGAGCTTCTGGGATTTGTACATTTACCTCACAAAAATGCCAAGTATCGGCACTGGTACTCGAAAAGTATCGCTGCATCCCTAGGGCCTCATTCACACTGCCGCGCATATACGGCAGTGGATCTTTGACAGCATATGCAAAAAAAATGGCTCCATACACATAGCTGCGTATGGAGCCGTATATTTGTGTAGCGTAAAAATGCGCAAAAACAGAATGGAACCGAGATGCGTCTGGGCAGCGTATTTCTGCGTATTTTACGCCTATACGCGCGTAGAGTTCATTAAAATCTCTATTACTAATGATGCATTCTGGGATTGCATATAGTGCACGCATATATTCGCACAAACGCGTATATACGCAATATACAATTTTGCTCTTGTGTTGTGTGCGATTGAGGCCTAACTGTAACGTCCTCTACACTACACCACTGTCCTGGTTCACCACCAGAGCCCCAAGTAAAACCCAGTACAGAGCCAACAGGGAAGCGCCCATGCCTCCTAATGCATGGCATCTGGGCGGCTAATTGTCAGACATCAGCACTGTCAAGTGAAGGTAGGTGCTCCCAGGGCAAATAACAATTTTCAGTCAAATGTTGCTTAGGAATTTCAGAGCGATCTTGCAGCAGGTCAGGTGGTGAGACGGGGAATGCAACAAGAGTAGGAACCCTATGCAGTGTGCACATTACCTAGCCTGAGCTACCCGGAGTAGAGATTAACGTGAGAAATGAATATTAAACATATAAGAACAGGGATGGTGCTAATAAATAGGCTATGCTATTTTATGCAGCTTAACGGTTTGTTTTAAAGAAGGAATGGCATGGGAAACTGTAAAGACTTAAAGCTGATCTCCAGGGTAATCTATTATGGTCTAAACATAAGAGGTATGTGTATTCTTAGTTGAATCCTGGTGTGCTTTGTGTACCTTTTGCCTCTGCGCAGGAACTTCCTGTATTTAGACCAGCCCTCCCTGCTTGGGCACAGTAACTGGTCTCCTGTAGTGGGTCGGGCCTGCTGACTCCCTCCTGCAGCTCTGCTCTCTTTTTTGTTGTTGTTGTTAATTAGAGTAGGGGGAAGGATTTTTTTCAGTCTGCGTCCACAATTGGGAAATGCACTCTCTGCCTTTGAGATTGATGGGAAGTCCAAAATTTCAGTTGCCACAGGAGCAGGAGGCGAGAAGAAATTTTCCAAAGAGGCAACTGTCTAAGAGGGGATATATCTTACTTCCTGCTGTGTCTCCGGGACAGGAATTAGAGGGAAATCTCCCTTTCAAATGACACAAAGTGAAAGAAAACCAAAAACCCGATGTTTTGGCTTGACATACACTGAATTTTTTTGTAGTATTACATGTCTCTGCCAGGTACCTGTGCAGAAATCTAAAGCACCACTTCTTCATGACCATTCCTCGGCATGTCATAGCTGGGTAGGTCTGAACAAAAACATAAGCTCCACTTCCATGATGGAGAAGGAGCTTTCCCTAACCTTGCCCTCCATGGACAAGATTAGGGAAGACATGCATGTGTTAAATCACATGACTAGTTCAAATGCAAATTGGCTTCTTTAAAATGATAAAGCATGCCATCAAACCATCCTGCCACCACATTTTTTTTAATACCTAACAATCGGCATACTCTGTGTTTGAATGGTTGTGACTAAAAATAAATCTTAATTGCCTTAACATGGGTGGGGACACAAAACAAGTCCAAGATTAGTTGAGGCAACAGTTTTATATGAATTAACACCCTTGTTTATAATGGTAAGGACATTTTAAAGGACAATATTCACAGAATGTAAATACAAAACTTAATATATACTACAAACAGTACAAACATCACAAATATTTCAACAGGTCCGTTTGCAAAAAAATAAAAAATCTGTATTTGCTGGTAGATTTATAGTAGAGATCATGTGATGCCAGCACAAAGTCTGCTCAGTTGCCACTGTCAGTCCCATGACATCAATTCCACCCAAGAATACAAATGTCATGTGTCCTTAGATGTTAGATGTCCTTAGATGTGGTGGTTGCATTATTTTTTTCCAGGCTTTTCCGCAATTTATTTTCTCCTAGTGTTTCTGTCTGTAATAATTCCTATCCTAGGGTGACAAAAATCACTTGCTGTACTGTATCTATGGAGAAGTGTTGTCATCCTTGGACAAAATGTGTGTTTTTTTTGCAGCTCACTGGGTTATGGCAGGATCAGGGACGACAGCGCTGACTCGCCGCTGCTCTCCCGCGCCGCTCCTCTCCCGTACTGAAGGTAAGTGAAGAAAAAAAAAAACATAGCGCAAACACCGGGGCATTTTGACAACTACATTACGTGTCAAAATGCCCTGTTTTTTCCGCCCGCACCCTGCAGCGCCGTAAGGCGGCCGCCTGACTTGCCTTGTGGTAGCGCCGGGCCTGGGCAGGATCAACAGGTTTTTGGGTTTTTTTTGCACTTATCAAACAGATACAACAAAATCCTTTCAATGGTATATTTACCAGGCCAAAAGGGAGCAAATAAGAGAAGTTCAACATTAGGGATTACATACACTTTATAATGAAAAAGCAAATGTTTGACTAAGCACTGATTGTGGTTGCCAGGCCCTTTCTGGAAAGCAAGAGGTCATATTAAGCATCTCTGGCAATCTAAAGTGTTGGATATAACACAGAGATTTTTCAGCAAGTAATCTCTCTGCAAGCAAACCTATTGTTAGCTTGCCTGGCTGCCTACTAAACAATTGTTGTGTATGTATGTGGCAGGTAAACTTCAAAAACAGGATGTCTTGCTGCACTCCTAACCAGAGTAACCCCAAGCTGGGTGGGTGCTTGTAGTGACCACGGAAGGCATCGTGTGAATCACAGAATAAAGGAATAATGTCACCAGCACACCAGTTTTTGTTAGTCAATGATCCATTTTAATGGCACATTGCCATCCAATACACAAGCGCTTTCGGGGCCGCAGGGGATCCCCTTCATCAGGCTCAGAATGACACTTCAATAACAGATACATCAACCTTATATAGGCATCAAACAGTGAGAGAAAAAAACAATAAACCACTCCCATACATAATGACATCACTGGATCCATTCCCGCCACAATAGATTCAAAAATTCGAAAACCACCACCAACCTTAAGCATTGCAGCTGTACCGAGGCGCAGGGAGAAAACCGGGCCGTTGGTCGGCCGTAGCGGATGGTTGCCAAGGCAATAGGACGCAATTGCGGCCTGCCAGCACCGCCCATCTCTGGTGCGCATGTCAGTAATAAGGAGCGCAGTGGAACTTCCGGCTTGCGTTCCATCGTGGTAACGCAACGGCCGGCGCATGCGCACAGTGAACAAGTGCCGAAGAAAAAGGGTAGGCTAATGTAAAATACACCATACTGATTATGCAAACTCCGCCCCTTGGGTCAGGGATGGAACGCACAACACTCACAGCTTGCGCTTCAGCGATGGAGCAGCGCCTGCGCAGTACTCTCTTGTGTATAACAAGTGGGACTCAGGCTAAAATAAAACCGTGATTCCGTTGGTGGGCAAAAGTAATAGTTTTCTGAAAAACGGACGGGGGATAAAACCTAAAGATGTAAAGAGGCTGAATGGATTCAGTGTACAGACACAAAAGCAAACGTGAACTAATAGCAACAATAGGAAAGAAATGGGCAAGAATAAGCAGGCAATGTAAATAACTCATAATAATGAATGCACATACATAACATGGTAATAAGGCTTCCACTATGAAAACATAAAGTGCAAAAGGAGAGCTGGAACATTGGCATAAAATTGCTCGGGTATTTGACCCATATTTACTAAAGTAGTTGCCATAGCAAACCCAAACCTATTCCCAGAGGGCTCCCAAAAAAAATTGGTCGACAGGTGTCATGGTATTTCGTTTTGAACCTAGCCACATGTTCACCTCATGAATTTAAAACCTGTCAATTGGTACAAAACCTCGTGTCTCCAAGGACCAAGGGTGTACGAAATAACGGGTCCCGGTCTATATATTTTTTGGAGGGTTGGGTTCTGTGATGGGGGGTGTCGGGGTGGGAAAAGTGTTAAAAGAGGACTGTCCGTGGAGTTGCTCAGAGCTGCCAAAACAATGTGGCCCACTGAGGAGTTCAACGTGTTATTTAAAAAGGGGAATTCCTCTGTAGAGAAAGTCCCTATTCGAATTGCTCATGGAATCTAGGGATTATCTGTCATCCAGGAAACATGACAATGACAGATTCGAATTGAGGCCCCTGGGTTGCACACAATCAAGTGTGAAGATCCAGAAGGCCTCTCTCCGGAGAAGCTGTTTGTCCCTGTCACCTCCCCTAGGATGTGCATGTACTTGTTCGATGACCATACCCCTAAGTTCGTGGGTTTGATGTCTGTTTTTAGCAAAATGCATTGCAACTGGTTTGTTGATATCGAGTGTTTCATTCTTTTGCATTTTATCCAGTGTGACCCTAATGTCGCTTCTATGCTTTTGGAAGCGACGTTTAAAGGGTCCCGTCGTTTTGCCAATATATACAAGTGAACAGGGACATTTTAACAAATAGACACAAAAGTCTGTATCGCAGGTATAGAAGCCCCTAATGTTGTATCGTTTCCCGGAATGGGGGTGTGAAAAATGATCACTGCAGATCATTGAGTTGCAGATGTTGCAATGGAAGCATTTATAGCTCCCTACCTTGCTTGACATGGAAATCTGCTTTTTCCCATACTTGGGCCTGGGATCAGCTCGGATCAATAGTTTCCTGAGTGAGTTACCCTGTCTATGTACATGGAGGGGCCTGTTCTTTATACATTGTGTGAGGCTCCTATCCGCATGCAGAATGTTCAAATTGGATGCAGTGGCTTTATGAATCACTCTGTTTGCTGTATCAAAAGTGAAAATGAATGGGAGTCTTTCCTCTATAGTCGGTGCAGTTGGTGCCCCCACAAATTTGGTGTATGCTTTCTTTAGTGCTGTATCAATAACGGATTGTGGATACCCTCTTTGAGCAAATCGTTCCACCATCTGTTTTAACTGTGATGCACGGCCCTCATCATCAGAGCAAATTCTCATAACTCTGAGGAACTGGGATATGGGCAGATTGTTTTTAAGATGGTGGGGGTGGGCACTGTCATAGCGTAAGAGTGTGTTCCTATCTGTGGGCTTGGTATATACTGTTGTGCTAATAGTACCCTCATCCAGTCTAATCAGAACATCAAGGAAAGAAATTTCTACAGCAGAGAAAGTGCCATTCTGAGCCTGATGAAGGGGACCCCCTGCGGCCCCGAAAGCGCTTGTGTATTGGATGGCAATGTGCCATTAAAATGGATCATTGACTAACAAAAACTGGTGTGCTGGTGACATTATTCCTTTATTCTGTATGTGGCAGGGACACAAGATTTCAAACACCTATGGGGAAGAGGGACTGATGTGAATAGTTCTAGATACTATTTCCAGAGCTGCTGGTATATGCTACATAAATGCAGAAAACAAGGTATATATAGCACCAACCCAGTTAATGAGCTCAAGTCAGCTACACTGAGTCAGATACTTTTAAATTGTATGAAAACTCTAACAATTAACTTGTTATTTGCCCTCATTTTTGGATAGAGAGATAGATAGATCTGCCTGTATCCAGTTCGCTTTTCTGGTGTTATCTCAAGAATACTAATCTGTATGCTGTACAGATGAATAGATGGGGAAGAGCAACAGGGGTCAACATATATTTTCCAGTACTTGCAGGGTTCTTTAAAGGGAAAAACCTGGCCAGCCTTGTTAGAAGCAATCATTCAACTGCTAGAGATACTACAGATATGTGGTTTGCATGCTTGGGGAAAAGTACTTCCTTAACCTATGCCCAAGTTACTAATGCCAGCTGATACCACCTCTGATGTTTCCCTCTCACGCGCAGTTTAAAGATTTCCTTGTATTACTTCAAGTCTGCAGACAATCCTGGGAAATGCAACAGTAAGTGAAGCTGTCCACTTCTCAATTAACATACAGTCATAGCAATAGTCTGACAGCAGGGCCAGTACACAGTGTACTGTATAATCAAAAAGAAGCAAAGGGCTTTCCAAAATCCCCTCTGCCCAGGAGGAAGATTAGAATATGTCCCACGCTGCGAGCACATTCAAGTCCAAGCACATCATTCATTTAGTCTTTCCAAGACTACATAAAGCAATCAGCTACTGTGATGGCTCAGAATAAGTATCCAAAATACGAGGTCACACACCAATCCCACATTTGCATACAGCAAGTGAAAACTCACTAGGGTTCCGTCTAAGCAAAGGTCCGTAATAAACAATTCTTCTAGGGTTCCTTCTAAGCAGAGGGCCGTAATAAACAATTCTTCTAGGGTTCCTTCTAAGCAGAGAGCCGTAATAAACAATTCTTCTAGGGTTCCTTCTAAGCAAAGGGGCGTAATAAACAATTCTTCTAGGGTTCCTTCTAAGCAGAGGGCCGTAATAAACAATTCTTCTAGGGTTCCTTCTAAGCAGAGGGCCGCAATAAACAATTCTTCTAGGGTTCCTTCTAAGCAGAGAGCCGTAATAAACAATTCTTCTAGGGTTCCTTCTAAGCAAAGGGGCGTAATAAACAATTCTTCTAGGGTTCCTTCTAAGCAGAGGGGCCGTAATAAACAATTCTTCTAGGGTTCCTTCTAAGCAAAGGTCCGTAATAAACAATTCTTCTAGGGCTCCTTCTAAGCAAAGGTCCGTAATAAACAATTCTTCTAGGGTTCCTTCTAAGCAGAGGGGCGTAATATACAATTCTTCTAGGGTTCCTTCTAAGCAGAGGGGCATAATATACAATTCTTCTAGGGTTCCTTCTAAGCAAAGGGCCGTCATAAACAATTCTTCTAGGGTTCCTTCTAAGCAAAGGACCGTAATAAACAATTCTTCTAGGGTTCCTTCTAAGCAGAGGGCCGTCATAAACAATTCTTCTAGGGTTCCTTCTAAGCAAAGGGCCGTAATAAACAATTCTTCTAGGGTTCCTTCTAAGCAGAGGGCCGTAATAAACAATAAAGTAGCAGTGCTAACACTACTTGGAAAATGTTTGTCTCTATATTATTAGGTAGGAAACTCTTAAAATAAGTATCTTAAATAGAAATTCAGACAACACTGTTACCTGATTTTCTGAGAACAGCTGTAAACATACAACCTGGAACCTGCCACCATGAGATATTATATGTCTGAGTCTGCCCCCTCCATTCCATTATGCTAATGGACAGCACAGCTTATTCAGAAGAGGAGTAGAGTAGGAGGAGTAGGAGAAGAAGTAGCCAAGTAAGAAGTCTGCCTTGTAGCATTGGTATCCTCTGTGTACCATTTCCACCATTTGCGAGGAGTTTGCATGTTTTGTTCATGTCTGCATGAGTTTTTTTCCAAGGGCTCCATTTTTATCATACAATGTTAAAACATTTTGTAAAGATGACTGCTTTATACTGAATTCAAAACAAGTACACCAGTTCCAATCCTTTGACAGTCATGATGTTACATATCACATAAGAATGCAGCCGTATATGTAATTGGCAGTCAAAGGATTAAAGGAAACTTGCACTGACAGAAATATAAAGCCTGATATTGCTAAACTCCTTCTGAAAAAGCTAGCTGCCTGGCTGTTACGATGATCTCTGGTGCCAATACTTTGAGTCACGGACACAGAAAAGCATGAAGCAAATAAAGTACTTGCTCTGAGTCAGCGACTTAAAGAGTAGTGAACAGAGATTTGGAGTGACAGTCAAGCAATTAGCATTTTCAAATTGAGAGGTTATAATAATAGCATCCAACAAGAAATGTGTGTAGTTACTTGGAACACAACAGCCAATTCAATACGTTTCTCTGGAAATGTGCAATGCATGACACATGCTTACATGCTTCAGCATTGTAACATAAAGAGGACTCATCAGTGTTACCTTTTCTATCTCTTTCTGGGCTGCACCTTCCTTTTTCAGCCTCTCCTGTTCCACACACTTGATGTTGTACATTTCCTTGGCTTTCTGCAGCGCTTGAGTAATACTCTGAATGTTCTGTACAGCCTCCAAGGTTCCGGCCACTTCCTCCTTTGTCTGCCAAATGTAAACAAATGAAGAATCATCTATTTAAGTGTCCAACAGCTTTAATTAACCCGAGTGTAAGAAAAGAGGCAATCTTTCACAAGATACCTTTTTATGGGACTTCAGTTGCTCTTCCCCATATTTTTGTAGCTCTTTAATGAGGTCCTGTAATTTCTTGACAAGTTCTAGGTGACAGCCAGCAAGTTTTTCTGTTGAAGTTTTAAAGACATCCCAGACAGCTCCAAAGGTCCTATGTAAACAGACATGTTCATTCATTATTATTTCCTAAACTGTAAATGGATAGCTTAAAAAAAAAAAAGGAAAAAGAAACCTTCACTGTGGTCTTATTTGTCAAACATACCCAAGTTGTGTATAATTGTTCGCAGTCTTGGCAAGTTTTGTCATTGACCGGGAATAAGCCTCTTCAATTGTCGACCTGTGAAAGTAGTTGTAGAACAAGTTGGTAAAGTAAACCTGGTATTTTTTTTTTTTTTAAAGACATGCTGCAAACGAAAGGACAGAGATAGTGCTAGCACTGTTTTCCTTAAATTATGAAGATTTTAGTGCATTAGTAAGTTAAACATATCAATAGAAACATTTCTAAAAACAGTGATGGGAAAACGACATCAAATAATAAGTGCAGCCCTGACGCTACCACAGGGATACAAATATTTAATATTTAATATTTTCTTTGTTTTATGGTCAGACTGCAGAGATGGTCAGACTGCAGACATGTTACAGGAGATGGTCAAGGACTTGTATTATGCTAGAGCTAGAGCCTATGCCAGTTAGGAATAGTATCCTGCACAACTCTCTACAGGAGATGGTCAAAGACTGCAGACATGTTATAAGAGTTGGTCAAAAACTGCAGGTATGTTACAGGAGATGGTCAGAGACTATGGGCATGTTACAGGATATGGTCAAGACTGCCAACATGCTAGTGGAGTTGTTGGAGACGTGTTACATGAGACTTGTTACAAGAGATGATTAAAGACTGCAGACATGTTACAGGAAATGGTCACAAATTCCAGACATGTTACAGGAGATGGTCAGAGATTATGTACATGTTACAAGAGATGGTCAGACTGCAGACATGTTACAGGAGATGGTCCAAGACTTGTATTATGCTAGAGAAGGGCTACAAATAATATTCAGCTAATATAAGGCTGCAGAAAGCTGCCAGTTAGGAATAGTATCCTGCACAACTCTCTACAGGAGATGGTCAAAGACTGCAGACATGTTACAGGATATGGTCAAGACTGCCAACATGCTAGTGGAGTTGTTGGAGACATGTTACATGAGACTGCTAGAGATTACTGCTATTAAAGGCCCTTTACAAATCAATGCTTCTACAGTTGTGCTCCCTATAGCCCTTTTAAAAATTACTTACGTCTAGGGCTGCAACCAACTAATCGAATAATTGATAATGAGAATAGTTGTAAACTTTTCTCATTATGGATTAGCTGGTTGGATCCCCTAGCTCTCTCCTCCACGCTGGGAGGGCACAGCAAGCAGTGGGCGGGTGCAATGGCCAGCCTGCTATTGTCATTTGAAATGGCCAATAGCAGGCTGCCTATTGCACCCGCCCACTACCTGCTGTATTTACATTCAGCTGCTGTCTGTGGAATCTTGCCACTGGCAGCTGTCATTCCCTGGCTGAAGCTATTCAAGCGGCGTGTGCTTACACTGCAATTATTTTTTAAATATATCGATAGATAGATAAAAAAGTCTGGTTTCGGTCTGACAAATTCTGCAGTGGGAGGTGCGTTGCAGTGCCATTCATTTTAATGGCACCCCAAACGTTCCTCCCACCCACAGTGTGATCACCTGCACTGGAACACACGGTACCGCAATGCTGAGCTTTCCAGTGCAGTGCGATGGCTAAAAAAATTGTGCCTGCAGTTTTATTCTGAAGTAAACTTTGTTTGTAAAGCTGACCATACACCTATAGATTATCTGCAGACTTTCTATGGTCAGATGGAAAAAGTGCAACAGATTCCTCCATCTACGCTAAACTGTGTGCATGGAGGAATCTCCCACTGGGCCAAGCCTCAGTATATTGCTAGGTCGGCCTCTCTGGCTCTCAAAACACCTGACAATCTGATTGGATGCAGGCATTGCTCATGTATTTTAGCGTAGATGGAGGAGTCTGCTGCATTTTTTCTATCTGAAGATAATCTATAGGTGCATGGCCAGCTTTAAACTGCATTTGTGTATTTTAAATTAAGGATGGTATTTAATTTTTTTCATCTGATTAATCGATTAATCCAAAAAATAATCAGCCAACAAATTGATTATTAAAATAATCATTAGTTTCAGCCCTACTTGTGTCACATTTGATACTTTTCTCTGCAAGTTGCATTATAAAAGATCAGAGGGAAAAAACATGGAGAGAGAAATGGTATGAACAGTACAGAAGTAAACTAGTATGAAAGAAATACAGAAAACCAACAAGTATAAAGAATATTTCCCTTCACTGGCTTCAGTAAAAAAAGAAAAAAAAATCCTCACATTACTGTCGGCAGAAGCCCCACAGAAAGGGCACTAAGGGCTGCAAGTTGGGCACCATTGGTCAAAAAATACAGGTTCATAAATGCAAGCATCATAAGCTCCCTGTGAATAGCCAATTTAGAAGCAATATGGTGGCCACAGACTGCAAATTCAAACAGTGGGTGCTGCTGTTGGTACCCTTTCGGCTGGCATCCCTCCATCAGCTGATCGAAGGTGGCTGTCAGAAAATCTGAACAGAGATGGCAGCCAATGAGCTGCCGGCTCTGTTTGAGTGTTCTGAAGCAAGCAGCAGCTGAAAGGAAGCCTCAATGAAGAAAAAATAATAATTTCAGAGCTGAGCAATAATGTAATGTAAGGGTTACTTCGGAACTAATTTATCAACCCGTTAACTGAAGTTTCAGAGCCTGTAAGAAGATAGTCAATTCACTGACTAAAAACTTGCAGCCATCTGGTGCCCAGGACTGCCTGCAATTAGGAATGAATGTAATTGACAGCAAACAAGCCACTGATCACATTCCTTCATACACTACTACTCCACAAGGAATGTAAACAAAAGCACAGGGACCAGCAACCGACCATAGCCGTTTAGAAAACCTGCTAAAATGCATGTAGTCAAATGTATTCATAAAAGGTCAATACATTCACCTACACCACTAGCCGACTGCTGCAGCATTGTTTACATTCTCGGCGAGTGGCTATAGCAGGAGTGAACAGGGCAGTTCCTCCAGAGTAAAATTGTACTGCAGGGTAAAATTGAATTAGAAATGTTTATTTTGACTTGCATACTTCACCTGAATTTGTTCAGAATTTGTATTAAAAGGTGTCATCGAGGGTGGCATCTAGAATAAGTAGTCTTACAGTGCTTGAGGGAGAACGTTGTCAAAGGCTATTGTCTACTTTAAAAGACCTGCTGAGAACCGTGAGCATGGCCTCGCAGTATACAGGGGGCTGTACTTGAATTTCAGAAATGACTCAGCATGGAAAATGTGCCATCTCCTTGGGCATTCTAGAAGGCTGGTGTAAACAAATTATAGAGGCCTCATATGGTACGTCCTATAGACCATTCTTATGTTGCTGAAAATGATAAACAACATGAAGGGATGTAAAAAGAGAGCAGGCATTAAAGAGAAACGTTACCCATATCTTCAAAATAACATCAAACACACCTTCAGGACCACAAAGTCCACGTTACAGTGCGTTCAGCCTCTGGAACGCACTTGAACGCAAGTCGGCCTGCTCCCTGCGTTCAGGGGCAGAAGGGGGCGTGGCGGTGCATTGAAGTCAATGGCACCGAACCCACGTGCCCCACCCGCACCCGGAATGCCTGCGTTCCGGTCCAGTGCGATCTGCAAAAATAGTGCTTGCAGTATTTTTGTAGATCGCACTGTGGGCGGGGGCGTGGCTGCAGTGCCATTGACTTTAACGCACCGCCCCTAAACGCAGGAAGACGGCCGGCTTGCGCTCCAGAGGCCGAACACAGACTTTGTGGTGTGAAACAGCCCTCAGTAATGACAATCTACAAACAGATACGTCAATCATTGCCTTTTTTATTCTTTGCATACCCTATTTTTCTTTTCTTCACCAGTCTTCTTACAGTGGCCATGTTTACTAAAGGCAGATGAATCCATCTCCCTTTACTTCCTGGAACTCTGGTACATGTGACTAGGACATGTGACCATGTACATCATCTCAGGGGAGGAAAATGTATTTCCCTGAGATCTCATAAGATTACAGATGAGATTTCCCAGCAATGCTCTGCTGATGTAACCTTCCCAGGATGCCACGCTTGGGTACATTACATCATTTGTGTCAAAGTGGACCAGGAAGTAAGTAAAATAAAAATTATGTTTGTTTAGCTAATGAATGTAAGATGATTTTATATCAGCATGCAGAGCTTGTAACTTTCAATTACTACTGTTCCACTTCCTAGTTGAGTGAGGCACTGGTGATGTAGCCCTGACCTCAAAGATGCATCCTGGGAGGGTTACATCACCAGTGTCTTCCTGGGAAATCTCATCTGTAAACTGCAAGATCTCATGGAAAAGGCATTTCCCCCCCTCAGATGATATGCACTGTCACATGTTACAGGAGGCAGACCCAGAGTTCCAGAAGTAAAGCGAGACGGATGCATCTGCCCTTACTAAAAAATGGCCACCGTGAGAAGACTGGGGAGGAAAAGAAAAAAAAGTATGCAAGGAATAAAAAGCCGGCAATTATCCAAAAGTATTTTTTTGTAGATTGTCATTACTAAACATTTCGAAAGGTGCCTTTGTTGTCATTTTCAGGATAAGGGGTAAGCTGCTCTTCAAAGATGTAATTTAATCCTTACCCTGCCACCAACATATGTCATACATCGGCAGCAGCATGTCCCTGAAAGCAGACTCCCGGCTGCAATAGTCTATTTACATTTGCAAAGTTGATGGTCTGCTCTACACTGGAAGTGATTTCCACAGCCTGATTACTTCCAGGGGCTCCGACATGTGCGCCCCTCCGCGGGGAGAGAGACCAGCAAACCTGCACTGATCTCCTCCCAGCTCAATGAAGCTGGGAGCGACAATTATTTTGTCACTTACAGTTTCTGATCTGTCATTCCCGGGCCAGAGAAGCTGTAAGCATGTGAACCACCAATGCGAAAGCAATAAAGTAAGAAAAACAAAATATATTTTTAAAAGAAAGTTAGAGAAAATATAAAAGTCCCCACCCCCGCTAACATGTATATCGCTGGGCACACCAGAGTGAAATAAATAATTCTGAGGCCATCATTTACGATTAACTTTATATTAATGACCTGTAAAAGCTTTGGACAATTTTAGGTACCGTTTTTTTTTTTTAAACCATTTTACAGGCGCACGCAATTTTGAAGCTTGACATGTTTGTCATCTATTTACTTGTACTAAAACCTTTTATATTTAAAATAAATGGGTA